TTATTCAAGGAGATGGAAACTGATTTCCTTCACTTGCTCACATTCTATCAAGAAGCTGATCAAAATTCAGAAAGTCCTGTTGCATTGAAATTCTTATTCTTTTGCAGGATGAATGAACAGCACTGAGACAGCTAGCTCTGTTTCTAAAGTTTTGAGTTTTTAAATCTCATTGCTACTGTTTTCATCTCAGTCCCCTCTCAAAGATACTTCTTTCTATAGAATCAGGCATCTTCCCAACTTTACTATCTGTGTGAGATATCAGCAATGTCTTCCTAGAATGGTGGGAAACTTGTTGCCTTGGAGGACAATAGAGACCTCATCCTTGTCTGAAGTCTAGCAGAAACTGTGACAGGTCTGGGGGAAGGGATACATCTGGTATATCAGATCAATACATCTCCCACCACCAGTGTGCCAAGTGTGATCAATACATCTCCCACCACCAGTGTGACAAGTGAATCTTCCCTCACTCAGTTTTAATCCATTGGTCTTCCCAAACACTATTGTGAATCAATCTGTTTTGCTTTCCATTTTGTTTATTATATATTTTCTTCACCTACTGCTATCCAGTAACTTTCAGGAAAAGTTAAAGTCCTCACCTCCAGCACCCTTTTTCTTTTACCATTGATGCAGCTTGTTCCCTAAATGCTAGGTGTTTGCTGAGTGATGAGCAAGTAAAATATTTATGCAGGATTCTATGTACAAGCATCCTGTACATTGGCAGCAAATAGTGTATAGGCTAGCTGGAGCCTCCATTGAAACTAAAATGGGTCTGTGATATGTTCCCATTAATGCTGGAATATTTGCTGTAAAGAGCCTAACACATTAATATTTAAAGTACTCACCACTCATCACATACCTGTAGTACTGCCATACTTCCTGAGACTTCAAGAAGACCGCTGATAATGGTGGAAAGGATCAATCTAATGTGGATGTGCACTAAATGCTACCACAGCAAATATTGCTTAATATTCTTATGGCATTTGTCTAGACGCTTCTTTCCACAAGAGACTGTTTCCCTATATATTTATTTCATTAAGAGTACACCATCAAATAAAGTAATATCTTGAACCTAAAGGCAAATCATCCTTGGGAACATGTGGAAAAGAACTGCACGTACACTCTAGGTTTTCTGCAGCACTTTCATGCAACACACACACGCGTGTCCTGGTAGCAGCTCTCAGCTGTCTCATATTCACAGGATGAAAAGCAGACAAAATATAAGTAAGCCAGCTGGGAGCTGCCGGTGAAGAAAACTACCAGAAGCCCCAGGTGTAATCAGACTGGATCACTTCAGTGTGTGTTTGTGGCATCATAATCGTTCATGCTAAACTGAGAAATCACACTGGAGTGGTGGGCTGTTGTTTTTTTTTAACAGATGTACGCATATCCATGCAGTAGCATGTCTCTGCTACTCCAGGATGTTAGATCTTTCAATTTGCCTTCCGTCACTCCACAGCATTTCACATCACATATTACTAAACTTAAAATTAGCTGGCAACTTGGCCACAGCAGAGGGAAAGAGGAGACAGCATAGACCACTTTTCAACTCAGCTGGGACCTACTGCCATTTGCTTCTTCGTCTCCCAGAACTTTCTCCCTCAGTGGCCATTCCATCTGATCACTAAATATTCATGTAACCATGAAGCACAGGTGCTTGGGTGTGCTTCTTTTGCTATTCTGTCCTCCAGTCCTTTTGCTATTAGACCATAAGCCTAGCAAATTGTGTTTATTTTTAACCTCTGTAATAGTGCCTAGAAAACTCTAGGTTCTTTACAAATGATGAATATGATGTTATAATTATGCAATTGACCTAATTTGCTTAATGGTGGTATCTTATTGTGCCCACTGATTTTCTGCCCATTTGTTCCACAGAGAGAATGGAATTAAGCAGATCATTTCTTTTAAAAAAGAAAAAGGGGAAAAAATCTTTACCTATTGCCATACTATCTGTTAAAAGGGAAATTGTACATAGGTATTAGGACAGCTTGCTGTTTCCTGGCAGTAATTTTGTTTTTATTTTGAAAATATGAGATGAAAAAGTTATTGCAGTAAAAAAAGTAATAGCAGTGTGCCACATTTGTGATCATACTTAATAATCTGTTTTGTGACTTTGACTACTATCATGGTTACTACCTAGAGGGGATTTTGCAAGTACAGTGGTACCTCTAGTTATGGATTTAGTTATGGATTTGCATGCACGAGCAGCAAAACCCGGAAGTATACACTTCCAGGTTTGCCATGGCCGTAACCCGAAGATTCCGTAACCTGGAGGTTACACAGCACGAGGTACCACTGTATGATGTTTTTTTTAAAGGGACTCGGGTCTAGTCCTGTTTCACGTTGGCTATGAAAATCATTAGCAAGGCACAGCGGGTCTTGCCACTGGCCCCACTCCTAACATCACACCTGCCTGACTCTGTCCCCTTGAGTTTCATACAGTCTCTACAATGGTCCAGAGAAGGAACCAGTTGTATCCATGCTAGGGTTTCCATATTTCAAAAAGTGAAATCTGGACATTTCAGATGATTTCCGAAAATTCTGCCTGGATGCCATTTTTGACAGAAAAATCTTGGCTATGTCTTGAAAATTCCAGACATATGGCAGCCCTAATTCATGCAGACTTCTTCATGTAGTTGGTAGCCTAATCTCACAGGGCTCTCAATCACGTGGAAGGCCTGCATGAGTACAGCTGGCTTACTTTTCATATCCTTGCCCAATCTTTATAAAATTTGTTTACATTTCTACAATATTTCCTTAGGTATTTTATGCCCTCAGTGTAAAATGAATAATTTGTGAATGGTATGAGGAGGAAATGTTTAGCTTAGAAAAGAACATTTCTCCTACGATGAAAGCAGCAACAGGCAGCATTAGCATCATCAAAATTTTGGAATTCCTTAATGGCAAAACAAAACTTGCTAAAAATGCATGTCCAAGCTTGAGATGCCTAAACTTTCTGAAGCTGCACTTAATCTGGCCTCTATAAGTATCAGAATCCATTGGCACCAGCCAGCATGACTAATCTTCAGGGGCAATAATAATAATTTATTTTCTTTATATCCCGCCCATCTGGCTGGGTTTCCCCAGACACTTTGGGAGGTTATAACATCTGGAGGGTACACATTCTCCAAGTATCTCTTAGGATGATCTCCCACAGGAACATAGTAACTGCCAGTGCTATTAGGACAACAGGGCCTGAGTAACTTTGAGAAACAATTATTTCATTACATATGAACTGAAAAATAAAAATTTAACTCAAAACTCCTCACTGGTTCTTCCTGCGCTAGCTTTGTGCAATGGAGGTAGCAGGACTGTGCTAGGTTAAATACAAACATATCAGCTTAAGTGATCTGTGGATCACAACTTCAGCCTACACTGCTTACTAATAGAAGCAGTTTGGAAGGAAATGACAGAGTGCTTTTTTTCTGATACAGTTCAAGCAATTCCTCCCCCACCCCCACCCCCACCCCCACTCCTGAATGCAGAATATATCTCAGACTTTGTTTTGCTTCAGGAGATTGTATTGTTGGAGGTGTGCAGAATTTGAATGAATATATATTGAGGGAGCTGTTTGGATTGAAGAGAGGTGACTACAGGCATGCCACGAGGGTACTACAGCCAATTTTGTCCAATTGATATAGTATCGAGAGGGACGCTGATGTAATTTGCTGATGGCACAATATACAAAATGGGGTATGGGAAGGGTCAGTCAACATAAAAAGAGGATACAATACAATTTAGAAAGCCTTGGAAAGTGTATGAGCAAGGGCAGGTAACCAGTTTATGCAATTTGGTGCTGAGAATGTAAGGTAATAAGCTCAGTGACAATAACTAAATAAATAATGGAAATATGAAAGGGGAATATATTGTACCCTCAACAGTAATGTATTCCAAAGCACTAATCAAAAGAAGGTTCCCGGGCAACAGTGTATACATTTTTAAAACCTTTCAGAATACAAGTCTTAAGAAATGGGAATGTACACCAAGTTCTGGAGTGCATCAACGAATGTATCACATATAAAGCCGTAGAAAACTCCACTGCAGTTCTGAACTGAAATGGAGAGGGTATGTTTGTAACATTGTGTGCAGGTTTAGTAAACTATACTGAGTAGCTTGTTACACTGAGAAAAATGTGAATTAGGATTCAAGAATTAATCACCATAATAGGGAGAGTCAATGATTTTCCACATATGAAAGGAATGGAACCTGGATGAAAACACCAGTTTTAATGCATTCATTTCCTTCGGGAACTGCATGGTTGAAGGGTAATAGATTGTGGTGAATAATTCTGAAGTTCTGGTAATCTATGAACTCTCCACATAGCTATTGGTCAATTTATATAGCAGAAACTGTTTCAGCATATTCTTGTGATGTATGCACATGTCCTATAAGTTGCCTCAGGAACTCTGTGAGCTGATTGAAACATTCAGTCATTTTGCTGATATTATTATCACTCACACAGCAATAACATCTCAGTTTCCATGTGTGTTTGGGAGTCTTCTTGTTCAAAAGCCACTCTGCATGAAAATTACACCCCACACCAAAATTTACTAGGACTTTTACACAGGGCATAACTTTTATGTGGAAGGGGATACATTCAACTACTTAACCCCATATAATGCTCACGTATTACCTAATTGAAAGCAAGTAATGTGCAACAATGTCCACCCACTTGTGCTGTGGGGATCTAATTGCACAATGAGATTTCCAGTTTATCTTCATCCACTGCAGTCTTCCTATTTCTGGCCATACTAAGAATAGTCCATTCCTCACAGAAATGTTGCATAACATGGGATTTCTGACATTATGAAAGTCCCATCATTGCAGTTCTCATAGTTCTTTCCCACACTACTCTGGAAAGTTGCCATATGTACTTTGGAACTTGCCTTCTGGAATACCTCTCTTACTTTTTCAGTTCCTTCTTCAAAACCTACTTCATCCAGGAAGCCTTTGGCTCAACACCCTTGTTCCTATGCCCTATTGTAAGCAAGACTGTAACCAAGGCTTGGATAGCTCAAGTTGGTAGAGCCTAAGACTCTTAATCTCAAGGTCATGAGCTTGAGCCCCATGTTGGGCAAAAGATTCCTGCATTGTAGGGGGTTGGACTACATGACCCTCATGGTTCCTTCCAACTCAATGATTCTATTAATCAAACAAAATATTGTTTATTCAATTTATATCTCACCCTTTCTCCTAAAGGAGGCCTAAGGCCTGTTCTCTTGTATACTGTATACTGATGGCATAATAATAGCAATAATAATAATAATAATAATAATAATAATAATAATAATTTAGTATCCAATGGTCAATGGTGACTGGTGAGAGCCAGTGTGGTGTAGTGGTTAAGAGCAGTAGACTCGTAATCTGGGGAACCGGGTTCGCGTCTCCGCTCCTCCACATGCAGCTGCTGGGTGACCTTGGGCTAGTCACACTTCTTTGAAGTCTCTCAGCCCCACTCATCTCACAGAGTGCTTGTTGTGGGGGAGGAAGGGAAAGGAGAATGTTAGCCGCTTTGAGACACCTTCGGGTAGTGATAAAGCGGGATATCAAATCCAAACTCTTCTCTTCTTCTTCGTCATCTTCTTCTTCTTCTTCTTCTTGCACTAGGGAAAAGACAATGCACCCCAATTTCTGCTGATAACCTTGTCCAGTGTGCTCCCTTTGTGCCTCCCCAAAGCTGTTCTGAGGACTGGGAGACAATATTGAACAGCATGGTATCTGACATCAAGTATTGAAGGTGTAAAGTGAATAACATGCTTTGTGTGAACAGAAGGACTCCCTGCTAGCACAAAACCACAATTGGAAACACCATTGTTATCATGTAGGGAGTAACAGCATGACACTTGTTAGCCAAGAGGCAGTAAAATGATATTAACATTTCTCCCATAACATAATTGCATGGTTTTTTTATGGTTTCTAGAATTAAATGGAAGAGATGGATTGTGATTCAGATTGTCATCGGTACAGGAGGTGGGGGTGGATTCCTGAATGATTTGGTGTGTATTTCACACACAAAACATTTTCTGAGACACTCACTGCAATCATCACTCTATATCTGATACATTTATACAGTTCCAAAACTTACTTGGATCATCAGGCAGTGTGGGATATCATAATTAGCTTTATCAAATAGCTAATTTATTCATACAAAGCTCCTTGATGCTCTGAAGCACTATTTCTCCTCTATAGGGCTGATCTGTCAAATTTGATTCGTACTTCATTCATATGTTAATTAGGCTATTTCTGGGTGTTTGTGTCTATCCATACCAATGTAAAAAGCATAGAGAAGACTTACAGGTACGAAATAAACATATTCACTTTAAAGAAATCAATTCACTAATCCTAAAATGCTTTGGACTCAGCTCACCAGTGCCTTGCCCCTATTTTCCTCAATTACTCCATCGCTAAGTGTGTGCAAACTGGATGAAAAGTGTTATCTAATCAGAACAGTAGGCTTTTGCAACCACATTAGAGAAGTATAAAGGATCTTAGTAGGAGTGAGGCAGTGAACAATCAACCTTCCTACTTGTAAAATTAACTCTAGAAGATTTACACAGCATATAAACTCCCACCAAATATCTAAAAATTGCAACTCATTAAAACAAACTTTCTTTAACCTTTTCTGTTCCTCCAGAGAGCTTCATTTATATTGGAAATGTGGATTTTATCACACAATGTCTTTCCTCCCACAGAACACAGGTTACTAGTGCCTGTATCCCAGTGAAACAACACTAATGCAATATTGTCAATATTGTAATTTTCTTTTGTGGAAATTCAGATTTAGTAAGTTGGGGCCTATAGAAGAGGAAAGTAGCATTAACTGGGGCCTAGGATTAGAAAGAAATATTACTTTAAAAATAACGTGCAGTTATTTTCACAGGTATATGAACTGGAAAAATTATTTTCCATATTCAGGGGAGGGATATCAGCTTTGTTTATCTTTGGATCTCTTCTAATCGTAAAATTCCTTATTATCAAAGAAAAGGCATAGGGAACATAAATTTCATTCATTCTTCCTGTTTATGTGTGTCTTGTATCCTGACATCTTTTGAAAACATTGATGCTAAGCTCCAGTTTCTAACAATCCAACCATAGTTGTAAATCAGAAGCCTCTGAAATTAATGTGAATGAGCCTTCTTAGGAATAACAATAATTCGTTTGCAACAAGCAGTAGGGCTGCATTTGGTTTATATTGTGGGCAGTGTTAGAAACTGAGATATGAAAGCTAGGAGCTAAATGGCACCTTAAAACTTGGTTATGGACACAACGGAAAGTCTAGGCGTGTTTTTTTATAACAAGAATAAAGTAAAGGTAAAGGGACCCCGGACAGTTAAGTCCAGTCGCGAACGACTCTGGGGTTGCGGCGCTCATCTCGCTTTATTGGCTGAGGGAGCCACATCTGGCGAACCAGAGCAGCGCACGGAAACGCCGTTTACCTTCCCGCCGGAGCAGTACTTATTTATCTACTTGCACTTTTAGGTGCTTTTGAACTGCTAGGTTGGCAGGAGCAGGGACCGATCAATGGGAGCTCACCCCGTCACGGGGATTCGAACCGCCGACCTTCTGATCAGCAAGTCCTAGGCTCTGTGGTTTAACCTACAGCGCCACCTGCGTCCCTTATAACAAGAATACAAAGGTGAAAATGAATCAACTGTGGCTAAAATATTATGTTCATTTTTCACATGGTCTAATCTTTCCCCTGCCCACCCACCTAATATTCTTAAGGTGGTCTCTTCTCCAGAGAGTAGCTAGAAGTGGGGAGGCAGAAAAAGGTCTCCCTTTCCTTCCACTCTGCAGTTTTAATCTGAAATCTTAGGCACAGTACTGCGCCAGAGCTCAGAAACTGCTCTCTGTAATGAAATTCCGTCACAAAATGTGCCTAGAACAATGGGAGTTTCAAACACTGATCATGGACATCACATTGTCCTCAAGCCCAGTTTACATTAATAGCTGGATATTTTAATGATAAAAACTTCAGCCTGACAAAACCTAGCTAAGGCAGTAGACAATTCAACTTTTGTGGTTAAAGAAGGCAGCATTACAATCAGCAGGCTGTGAATAGGAAGCATTAAGCAACATTAACTATCATCGGAGTTGATGTTGAGTTGTAGTTGACTTTGTATGCTAAGCTTATCACCACATTCCTAACCACATGAAGATGCAATAGATGCAACAAATACAACAAGACCATGGTCTTTACAGAGAACTCTCACTTCCAACATTGCTGATTCCATTGACAATTTTGAGTTAAGTACACCATATCAAAGCATGTGTTTTTGTTTCCTTATTAGCATTCAGCAGAGTAGGGTGGCAGGAGTTTAAAAACAAGGCATTTTTTGCACTCAAAATAGCTAACAGCAGTGGAGGGAAGCTGGGCTCATTGACAAAGTTGCGTACTGAATGCAGATGCTTTTGTTCTTAAAAAGTTTTTCATTAGAGTGAAAGTAATCCTTTGAAGCAAGAAGTCCAGCTTGCCCTGAAGAAACAACATTGCTGTGGTTCCAGCAAATTGCCATTAATACAGTATTTTGCTTGTTCCCTTTCCACCAAGTAGTAAACTACACTTTTATCCTTTCCATCATTTATTTAATTGTTACATTCTCTCCTTGAATTAGTGGGAAACTGTTCGCTCATAGCAAAAAGGTTTTTTAAAAAATTCATCAGAACTTTAACTATTACCAGAACCACATTAATGTGGTTCAAAGGTGGGGAATCTGTCTCCGTAGATGTTGCTGAATGCAAACTCCCATCAGTGCCAGTCAGCATGGCAAACTATCAAGAATTATGGGAGTTGGAGTCCAGCAACATCTGGAGGGTCACGTTTCCCATCCTTGGCCAACAGTGTTGAAGCTGACTTTGGAATCCCCAGGACAAATTGTTGCTGGCTATAATGCAAGTCACTATCTTAGCATAACATACCTTACTGGGGTTTTAGGACACTAAAATGTATGCCTCTTCAAGTTGCTTGGTGGAAAGGTGGAATATAAATGAGCAGTATTCCAGGCTACTGAGTCATATACCTGACTCTGAAGTATGCTACTATGTTTTCTTCTTCTTCTTCTTCTTCTTCTTCTTCTTCTTCTTCTTCTTCTTCCTCTTCCTCTTCCTCTTCCTCTTCTTCTTCTTCGGTGATTCTATTGTTTCATTGGGTATTGTAGGCTTTTAATTTAATTTATGACTGTCTATATAGCTATTTTCCTGCCAACTTAGCAGTTCAAAAGCATATCAAAGTACAAATAGATAAATAGGTACCACTCTGGCGGGAAGGTAAACGGTGTTTCCGTGCACTGCTCTGGTTCGCCAGAAGCAGCTTAGTCATGCTGGCCACATGACCCGGAAGCTGTACGCTGGCTCCCTTGGCCAGTAAAGCGAGATGAGCACCGCAACCCCGGAGTCAGCCACAACTAGACCTAATGGTCAGGGGTCCCTTTACCTTTACCTTTACCTAGCTATCTAGCTACATCTAAATACTGTTACAGATCTGGGGTAACAGGGATTGGAGGTACAAGGGCACCCATAACTGCTAGTGAAGTATGAAAATCAATACGGGGTAGAATTTAGCTGATTTGGGGAGTATGAAGGGAAGATGCAAGGCTAGTGAAAGTATAATGAAACTACAGAATTTGAGATTTGAAACTATAGCCTTGTGAGCTGTCATGGTACCAAAAATATCATAAACTTTCAGCAAAGTTATACAGAACAATAACTCCAATCTTTGTTTTAAATACTTTTATATAAGAATGAAGTGATACTTGCAGAAGAATATTGATTTCAAACAATGCCATCTAATTTATTCATCTAAGCATTTTACATCTAATTTACACTTCCTGCATTCTTACATCCCACTCTTCGAAATTATTTGACATTAGCTCTCACTGTGTTAGTTTCCCAGTAATTGCTATAAAGCTATATTATCAGTGAGATTATATATTGGGGCAAACTAAAATGTAGTTTAAGATGTACAAAACTTGTAAAACTACTCTTAAACTACTTTAATTATCTAATTATTTATTACTGTTGATCCAATAAAATACTTGAGAAGTTCCATTGTCCCTTTTTTCAAGGCTAACAGCGGGA